ATCCAGTCGTCGACTCTCCCCCTGCCTATCCAAGTCTCCTATGTCTAGTAAACACTGATTCTTACGAACGTCTATGTCTCCCACCACTCCCCATTCCACTTCTTTAAATCCCCCTTCAAGGCTTTCAGTTTCTGATGTCCCCCTTCATTTAAATGTAACAAAGATGTCCTAGACCCTTATTCATACAAAATAATAAAAAGACATTCAAGCATACAAAATAATAAAAAGACATTCAAGCCCACCTTATTCATACAAAATAATGAAAAGATATTCCACCCGCCAAAAAGATTCATTCCAATCAAATGCTACATAAAACTGAAAAGCCAAATTCTCATTCTGAAAACTGCATTGCTGTAGGCATTCTTTGCGATACTACTATTATGAGAGAAAATTCAAAACACAACGTAATTTCGTGAAAAAAAAAAACTTGGATATTAAAATGACTAATTTTGTACCAATAAAATTCTTTTCGGTTGCCACATTAAATTCTGCATTGCAAGATGAACAAATAAATATAGAAATTAGCCAAATAAGGAAAAACTCGCCTTGTGTTTCTGCATGTGCATAAACAAAACCCCGGCATCACAAGTTACTATGTAATGGATACACACACACACACACAATTCACCTTTTGCACGCAACGCCATTTCTCCAGAAATTCTGCAACTTCACTACACAAATTAATTATATAAATGGAAATGATAAACCAATAACTTCACCAGAGATTAATTCTGCTAGTTTTTCTTTGGGGGTTTTTTCCTGGAGAGTGGAGAAAAAGACAAAAGGGGTTGAAATGAATTGTCCAAGGCAACCTTTAGAATTGATTTCTGCAATCAGCAGTAAAATTGACCACTTCGGTTGAATTGACCTCGTACGAGTCTTACGTTTTAAGTGCCAGGTGGATTGGGCCGCATCTTTTATTCTTCGAATGAACCTTAGTAAGAAATTGCAAATCTAAAGTTGAGATAAAAAAGGATGTTACTATAAATGTTGGAAAGCAGCCAATAGGTTCTATTTTGTGTTTAATGTCCATATTAGTTTCATCCTCCTCTTTGTTTTATAGATGCGGTTTTTTTTCTTTTTTTGGTGCAAAATGATTATTATTTTCCTACCAAGCCCCATCACCAGATGTCAGTGGGTTTTTTGCCAATCCAATCATCAACTCATCACTTTAGAAGAAAGTCAAATGGTGAGGTTGAAATCATGTTTCAGAAGGAGTCTCCTACCAAAAAGCCTCCCTTTTTTTCTACACGATTTGCATTTTTAAATAGAGAAATTTCTATTTATGGATTTGATGCAAATGGTAGACATGTTTACTGCAGACTTGATGATTCAGGAGGCATTTTCTGGTTGTGCAAAGTGTACCAGTGATGAAGAAGATATATTTGAAGATAAATCTTTTAAGAAGAAAAAGAAAAAGAGTCAACAAAGGCTGCATGGGGCATATGAAAACAAATTTGTAGGAGTTGATTTGTTAGGGGAACCTTCTGGTAAATTTGACTATTATGTCAAATATACTCCACCCCCTACAAATAATGAACCCATCATTCCTACTGGATGAGATGATGATGATTGCAGTCAAATGCATAAAAGATGGGACTGGAATAATAGTCCACATCCATTTCCAAAAATAGCTATGCCTATAGCGATGTTTCATCTGCCCCAACAAGAAGAATTTCCTCCATTGAACTCTTTTGTTAAAGAGCAGTCTACTCATGCCTAGAAATTTATGAATCCTAAATCCACGAAATCAGATGGCTCAGTTGACCAGCTTTCAACGGCAGAAACAGTTTTGAACAAGCAGTCAGAAAATGCAATTCATCAAAATTCATTGTTGAGAAAAATTGATCAAAGTCAGCAAATGATAAAAAACCCCATCACCACTTTCTTACAAAAAGCTCAAAATCATTCCCCTTCCACGCCTCTTGTCTTAACCATAACAAATGAAACCAGTACTGAACTTGAAGAGTCCTCAGATGATTCTCTTGAGGATCATCCTCCTCTATATATGGCTGACAGACCACAATCAAGTCAACCCGTCATTGATGAGCCATAAATAATTGATGAAGAAATTGTTGATACTCATGTTGTGAATAATTACTATTTGCAAAGCAATACTTCCACAACCAAATTCACTTTTGATGATATTCTCCCAAATATGTGGAAAGCAAGATTTCAAGAAATGAAAGCATGGTGTTCAGCAGAATTATAGAAGCCAAATATGACTCATTCTGCGGTCATAAAATCTTTCTTGGCAAGAATTATCGATTTTCTTAAAGATTGGTATGATGCTCTTGGTGAATATCGCCAGATCCAATACTCAAATTCCCCAACAATTGATGCTTTTATTAAATCATTGTATTGGGAATTTTGTGGGAAAACAGATTATTTGAAAGATGCTGCAAGAGAAGAATTCTTCAAGTTAATGTGTTGTTCTTACAATCGTAAAGATTTGGACAAACATTTTCATAATGCGGCTAGGCGATAATATCTTATTGGTGGAATGGATGATACCAACATAAAGCAAACCTACCTAGAATCCATACCACAGCCTCTGGGCCAGGAGACACTTAGAATGATTGAGATAAACTGGCAAACAAACTCCTTTTTTTTTGGAAGAGGAAATTTGTCATGAGCAAGGAAGTGATTCAACGGTTTATAATCAATCACAATTCTCCTTTTCCCACGAACTTGTTCACTTCTTTTATTGATATAAAAAGCTTGACATGCCCATTAACAAGTAGTTGGTTCAATGAGACCTTCAGCTTGTAATTGGCTTAACACTTTGGTAGCTAGCTGGAGATATTCTGGGCTCATTCCAATATGGCTGGCTTTAGTAGGGTTAATGTCTTAATTTCTTTTGAATGGTAAGGTTATAAAGAAATCTGGGTTTTTCCATAAAGGATGAGTGCATTTAGTGAGGAAATTTGTATGAGAATCTGCACAACATTCTCGGATTAATAGGTTGGTTACATCATCAAGGTTGGTTATAGATAAGTATGTGGTTGCCTGTATGTATGGTAAAAAGTAAGATTTGTATCTAAGGCCATTTGGAAGAGGAATAACACCCTTTGCCCACAACTGCTGAATAATGTCAAAACCAATTACAATATCCTTCCTTGGTAAAGATGAACCAAGTAACTTGTGTGAAACACTGCATTCTAGGAAAAACTGAATTGTGACCGGCTTGCTGATCAACTCTGCTGAAAAATATTCATTATTGGCCGCGTGAAAAATTTGCTGGTGAACGACCTCGATTCCTACCTTGTGATGTGATAAGTGCGTTTTACACACTTATTTTGGGCTACAAACATTGATAATTGTTAATAAATATNNCAAACATTGATAATTGTTAATAAATATGTGAAGTGGAGCTTAATTCGATTAAACTTGTGTTTGTAGGACAACAATGATGAATACGACAGAAATTAGGAGAAAAATGGAAAAAAGGACTACTACGAAAGAAAACCAAAGTTCAGGAACTAATGTGCAAATAAACTAAAGATGAATAGGAGGAGATCAAAGATGTGAAGATGGCGAGATCAAATTGATCAAAGGAATGAAACATTGGAAGAAGAAGAAGTTGGAAAAGAGGTCGAGAAATGTAGAATGAAGTTCAAGGACCAAAACGCAAAGCTATGGAAGTTCTTAATACTATGCGGTCGCATAAGTTTCTTCAGAAAATTCCAAAGCCATTTTTGTGATTCTATGCGATCGCATAGAAATGAACTATGCGGTCGCATTGTTGATATTTTTGGCAAGAATTCTGGTTTCCTTTTTCGAATCAAATACATATGGAAACAAATCTTGGGATGTGTATTTAAACCCTAGAGCTGTCCAGAACGCGAAGGGGGAGATTGATAAGGTTTTTAAGAGAAGAAAATAGACAAGAACACGGAGAATAACACCACGACGCAAAGATTGATCTCAAGATTTGAATTTGTAATGTCGTTCTTCATTGATTTTTCTGATTTTCTTTGTTCCACCATGCTAGGCTAAATTAATTCTGTACTAGGGTTAGATGAACTATTTAATATGATTCTTAAACTTTAGTTTTACAATTCTTGACATGAAAAGCACGTTTTAGATATCTGAATGATTTATATGAATTTCTTTTTCTCCATAATTATTGTAAACGTAATTGTGTGAGGTTGGTGACTTATTTCATACATTCAAAAGGATGGAAATAGGTTCGACGTGGTATAAATTATCATAAGGTCCGATAGGGATAGAAATATACCGTTATGCCCTATGTGAATATTTAATTGTTCACAAAAACTCGTGCATTCTTATATGTTCTTATCCGTCATAGAGATATAGTAGGGTCACATACTGAAATCTGTTTAAATTTACTCGAGAGATACTATTAAATAAGTTTGGAGCACTGATTCTTCAAATTTCCAATCGTGTGTCAAGGTGTAAAACTATGTTTAGAGAAGAATATTGCGTAGGGATTCGTGATCCTAGTACA